CAGCCACTTGAGCAGCCACTTGAGCAGCCACTTGAGCAGCCACTTGCAGCCACTTGAGCAGTCACTTGCGCAGCCACTTGAGCAGCCACTTGCAGCCACTTGAGCGGCGGCAAGTGGCCGCAAGTGGCTGCAAGCGGCTGCTTTTTTGAAATTCAAAATGCGCTTCATTTGCACGCTCTCTGAACATTCCAAAGTCATGTTGAATCTAAAACATGTTGATTCCGCAAGACCATGCAAAGTGGAAAACTTCCACTCTTGTACCAGTCCGAAACAGTTGATTTCGACAGTGCATGATGGCGCCTCATATGCTTTCATCCCATCCCGTTTGTTGAGTCGAGATTGAACAAGATGAACATGCAAGTTGTTTGCATCTATAAACACACTTTTTATCAAGTTAGGCAACAACACGCTGGTTCCACTGGCGACGTGCTTCTCCTTCATGCTACTCATCACACTTTCTGTCTGCTGTTGACAGTGGACTTGCACTTATACGAGGATGTGGTCATGCCAATGTGGATACCACTTTAGGTTTTGGACACAAGAGCTGGGCTAGCCACAGTTCTATGGAATGGACGGCGCTAGACTGCAGGTTTTTTGCAGTGACAACGTTTCTTGAGCATGACTGCATTCCTCAGGCATAGCATGAGGCCTTGCTAGAACGTCTCTTCACGACATTCAGAAGCCCCTTCCACGTAAGTCAAAGAGCTAACTCACTGGGTTAGATGAAACGACGTGGAATCTGTGGGTTAGAAACTCGTCAAGCCTTCAACTGTTTTAATCTCTGGGCCTGAGAGCTGAGACTAAAGCCTTCAAGATGGAAGCACAAATTGGCGAGATTTCATCGGTCTTTCACCAGATTTCATTTCAGACATCTCACCTCATACATGTAATGGTCAAACCAGCATGAATCATACTATGAAACAAATCTTGATTGTGGACAATGCCACATGAGATGTGGCCCTTAATACATCCTTTGACCTGTAAATAAAGCGCAGGTAGTGTTGGTATATCGCCATGTCCAACCCACATCTGCCATCGAAGATTCATCGACATCTTGAATATCAAGACTGAGAGCTTCAGAATGAAGTCTTTGGTCTTCAGAACCTGGCCTGTCATGCCAGCCTCAATGGTTGACTCACTGGAGAGAGACACCGCAGCGCACAAGCCCGGCTCCAGTGGCAGCAGGCCGGATGGCTTGCGTTGTTTGGCCGTGCCGTATTTATCGAGTGACCGAAGGTCACGGCTCTGCCAACTTGTCACCTTGACATACAATCGCTATATGATGTTATTATATGATGTATATGTCTCTATCAAGCAACAATGAAATCACCTTACTTATTCTTGCGTGGTTTGCATCTTGCCTTACTTAATTCTGCCGCTTCGCACTCACCGCTGATTCGGGAGATCATACCTCGGGCAGCTTGCGTTAGACTGGCAGTCCTTTCTGCGCCGGAAAGGTAGCAAAATTAGACCTGTCTTCCTTTTCTTCTTTCTATGTTTCTAAGAGCGATGGCCTCCAACCTACTAGTACCTAACAAAGTCAGCACAGAAGCCAAGCTGTGTTTGGTTTTCATGTCTTCCAGTTTTCGGAACCAAATACGGTCGCACTTACTTTTCATGCAATTGACACGGCCACACCTAACCGAGTAGGCATGTGAGTGCTTAACTTAGCATCAAGTTATCCCGATCTCTTGATGAACTTGGGGCCTTTGCAGCTGCAGACCCTTGGGAGAATGGGTGTTGTTCCGCAATAGAGTATTTTGATAGTGATCGATTCTTTTTTGTATGATCTATAATATGTGTTTCAAAGGCAGAGGGACAATACGGCAAAACCTCCCCGCACTGTTGCAAAGGATTGGGATGCTCTAGTCTTGCAGCAACAGTACAAGGCGCCAGTAGTTGAAACAGAGTATATTGAAACAGAGTGCGGTTTTGTGCTTTGCCCATTCCGGCATTTTGTTCACACAGTGAGAATATTGAATTTGCTGTGGACACGCAACGTAGGCACACATCGGTTCTTTGACCATGCTAGGTGAGACCGTTCTTTTTGCCGGAGAGAATGTCCTTTGACTCTTGAGTTCCCCCGTCCTAGTGTTCCACTAGGTCAGCTCAAACCTCGCACTCCCAGTGTTCCACAGTGGCACGCATGTGTGCGGGTGGATAGGAGAAGTTCGCTGGCCATGTTCATGACCACGAGTTAGCTCCTCAGAGCAGGGAATCGTGATTTTGCTGCCCAAGAGCTGCTTTTTGCCCAACTAACTAGCTCCCAGAGGAGGGAGATCTATTCTTTTCAGATTTAGACCTTTCTTTTTTCCTTCCCGTCCTTCCCTTCTTTATCCTTTTTCATTTCTTCTTTGGACCTTTGGACCCAATTTACTTTCTTTCTCAAAAGAACTGGACCTGTTCAGGAACAAGAAGCTACTAGGAGCAAAAGGGCATCGCTACTAGGAGCAAGGACGCTACTTGGGGCTCCTGGCCTTACTACTAGGAGCAATGTTCGCTACTAGGAGCAAAGAATAAATGAAGAAAAAGGTCCAAAGGTCTAAAAAACGAAGAATAGCCTTGTTAATTATGAAAGCCAGCCGTTGCCTATTGGCTTGAGCTTTTAGGGCGAACGAAGTGAGTTAAGAACCTTTTGATAGGGTGAACCCAGAGCTTGGTGGGGGAGAGCGCTCCAAAGCGAGGGTCCCAAAAGCAGTGAAAATGGGGTTTGGTGATGCGAGTGATGTATTGGACGCCGAGTAGTGCATCAAGCATCATGAAGGGCTTTGGGAGACTATTTGGACAATGGGCATAGAGGACTCGAGTGGAGACAGGGACCCACGTACAGGGACCCACGTAATGAAGCTTTAGCTTGACTGATAGCTTTTCCTTCATTCTTTTTGTTTCTCTTTGGGCCTTCAGAACTGTCTTCCTTCCGCTCCTTTGTTTACTTGACTAGACCTTTTTACACATACTTCACTCCCTCTTTCATTTTTGTTAAAGACTGCGATTCTAAGGACCTCGCGTCTTGGTTTTGATAACCAATGTGTAAACCAAGTCTGAACATAAGGGGTGATGATAAGTAAGAATCCAGGACTGAAGCTTAGCAGTGAACTGCTCCCTTACTTGTTAGCTTACTTAGCTTACTTGATAGCCTCCTCACGGCCTATTCCTCCCTCCCCGCCAGTCTTTTGCTTACTTGAGCCTCCAACTCCAACCAACTATCAATGGCCTCTAGCAATGGCCTCCAACCTATTAGCGATGGCCTCCAACCTAGCAATGGCCTCCAACCTGCTAGCGATGCCCTCCAACCTCTCAAAATAGGTCAGTGATTCTTGAGACTCTTTCCGAGGTCGGTGACCCTGGCGAATCTTGAGAGGAAGACCTCCATTTCGTTGCAGCAGTGCCTCTCCAGTCATGGCACCCAGAATGGAAAGCCGTTGTGGATGAAATCTATCTTCAGATTTCTTTGTAGATGACCAGCCGGAAAAGAAAATAAAGGACGCACCTAAATGAAAACCAGCCACTGTGTGGTTTGTGATTGGATGGAAGATTTGCTTCGTTTGCGATTTGAGACTCTCCTGGCAACATCGGACTTGGAACCTTTGCCCTGTGCAACCAGGCCTGGTAAAAGATGAGAATTTGACGGTCTATTGCCGTGAGTGTCTTGGTGGCAAGGTTGATGGGTCGTGCACAAGAGGAAGCGATGGCCTCCAACCCAATAGCGATGGCCTTCAACAGGGATGTTCAGAGGCGAATATGAAACTCTTTGACTTAAGCAAGGAAAGTGCTTGGGTGTTCAAGCATTTGCTTCAAGGGGTTGGAGAGAAGCTTCTTTGGAGAATCCGCCCTTTGTTCAAACAGGGTTCGGCCTGCAGGATAAGGAGACTTTAAGGTTGGAGGCCATCGCTTCTGGGTTGCAGGAAAAGGAAACTCTTGCGTCCACGTTTTTCTAAACTGTCGCACCGACGCTGAGGTGCACCAAGCAAGCTGAGGGTGAATTCACTGAGCCCCACCCTCAGCCCTGGAGCGACTTTTTAAGGGACCTTTAAAAGGCCGTTCTGCTCCCCTACCGACTAGCGATGGCCTCCAACCTACTTGCGATGGCCTCCAACCTAACCTCCAACCTCTTAGCGATGGCCTCCAACCTAAGAGGCTAGAAGACTGGGACATCACAGACCCTATACTGCCCAGGCCCTCTATTTTGCTTTGGCCAAGGGCTTCAGTGATTCTTTTTCTGAGGTCACCTCATGTGAAATCGCTCCGCTTCTGGGCATGCCCACCCTTATTGGCCGTGGACCCTGACAAAAGTCAGTGCTGTCCAACTATATCGAAAGAAATTTGCGATATCGAAAGAAATTCCATCGGCCCTGGTACTGTCTTCCGAAATCCGATGGGACCACACACGGAAATCCGATGGCCTCCAACCTACTAGTAGCGTTCTTGTTACTAATAGCGATGCCCTTTGTTCCTAGTAGCTTCCTGTTACTAGTAGTAAGGCCAGGAGCTACTAGTAGTGTCCTTGCTCCTAGTAGCGATGCGCTTTGCTACTAACAGCAAAAGTTTGACAGCGACATTTTGTACTGAATGACACTTTGTCATTGCCTCTTGTTTCTTGTGATGCTGGACATGCCCAAAGGTGCTTCAATTAAAGCGCTTCCATACCCGTTGTGGTGTTGCATACAAACTCTTCAACGAGGCACGAGCTTTAGTTGACATCTAGGGCTTGAAAACGACATGTTTTGCAGGTAACTTTTGGCCAATCCCTGAATCTCAAGGACGGATTGCTTTCGAAAATAGACATGTGGCGTGTGACATTTGGCAGTCGTGTGAAGGACTGTCTTTGTGATGGCACGAACGTTCGGCCGGCCTGATTTCAGCAAGGTTTGGTTTGTGCGAAGTTCTTAGGGTGAAGACATGGCGGTTCCTAGTTCATGTGATTTGTATTGACTTCGTATCGATCAGTACATTCAAAAGATCACCAGGTGCCCCCACCATAGCACAACGGGCACGTGGCTTTGCGTGATGTGCCAGGACTGCCACAGGACAAGGGCCTTTGTAGGCGGGACACTTGGAGTGCAAGGTCAGATTTAGAGCATCCACATGCCCGGCACAAATGTAGCCTGTGTCAGCATGTTCTGGATGTTTCATGCGTGCATAAAGCAGCAGGGGAAACCCTTGTCCGAGCAAATTGTGTTGGATTCCGAACTTGGTATTCTTCTCAATATCAATATCCGTGTTATCTGCATCAAGGGCTCTGATTTTGGTGGTTGTAGAATCTTTCAATGTGCTTCACCTGGCGATTGTAGCTAGAGTATCCTAAAGAATTGCTAATTAGGCCACTTCGTACCCTGGTTTATGTCTCTTGTTCCCTCCTTGACAATCGGAACGCTTGCATTAAGATGTCAGAATGGCAACAGAGCAACGGAAGACATGACAAGCTGTGGAAATGCAGCACCAGAGGAACCTGTTGCCAAGTGAGCAGACACATGCAGCGATGGGGTGTCACAACCTGCAAGTCCTCCAAGGTGTTATAGGAACTGCATTGGTTACGGCCCTGACTGTAGTGCAATACTTTGATCTTTTGATGCACGTTAACTCATCAGGAAGACGAAAAAATAAGCAGCTGCCGCTGGAGTATTTTCCTATATTGATTTGAAAGAAAGCTGAAAGCTTATAGAGAAGCAAGTAAAGACAAGCTTGATCATCAATTGCCGCTTCGGTAATGCTGTAGAAATATATTATCACGGATACACGGGTACACTAAGATTGGCACCGACCACTGCGAGAGCGATCTATGTCTGATGAGATGAGAAGATGGGTTGCAACCTCAGGGTGGGAACAAGATGGAACAAGGACCGAGGTTGGTCGCATTCTTCCTGACCCTCAAGAGAAACTTGGTAGACACTGGAGACTCAGATTCTTGATACGCCTGGAATACTTCCGGCGGAATGATCCTTTCCAAAAGCGTACCCCGACTATTTCATGCAGCAACATTTGACAGCTCTTTTGGCAATTGGCAGGCTTTGACAGCCTAAATAATTTTACAATGCCAAGCATTGCTGAGCCCGTGGATAGCACTATCGTAACAAGTTATCCATCGACTAAGGCTGGCTTTCCCAGCCTCTCGCGAGAAATCACCGACTACAAGCTCTATGGTGTGTTTCGGCGCATTTCGAATCCAAAAGCGTGTGCGTCCAGTCGGCATTGCCGGTTTACCACATCGTGGAGGGGTCATTCCCGAATTGGTTTATTGACTCAGGTGGTCTACCACATCGGCGGTATGGGTGGGGTCCTCGGGAAGCCAGACAAAAGCCTCCTTTCAGGATTTTTCAGGAAGACTGGAACATGAAGTCCTGTGATGGTGCATGAGGTTCAGGTCACTACACAGCCTGCATCCTACACGATGGACAGTGGTGTCGAACTCAGATAGTGGTCACATCTCATTTGATTGCCAGTGTGAGATTCGGAGCGTGTCAACGAGGGTTGTAAAGCAAAAGATGAAAGAAACATAAACAAGGAGAACAGTTTGCAGTGACCATTTCACTTGACATTCTTAGATATTCTCAGTAGATTTACAGGTATTGCTTTAATGACGATCGGGTCTACACCATCTCCGAAGAGGAGTGCGGCCTTTGCTCGACATTTCATGACATTTCACTAGCAAGCGTCGAACTCGCGCATTGTGGCGCCACAGGATGTCCCTGGACACAATGCTTATTTGCTGTTCTACGCTCGTCTGATAGCCTACACCAGCAGCAAACAGTCCACTGACTTTGGCGAAATCACAGAAAATGTGTTTTGGATGTTCAGACATTGAAGTTCGTTGTTTGGACTCTGGCTGTTACACATCGAACGGCTCAAGGTGCGGATGTGGTGTCTGGGGAGATGGACCTTGAGGACCTCTTCCCAAATGAAGGACGTCAGGCGAACCATGCGGCACATCATTCGATGTCCAGTCGATTCTTGTAGGGAGGCCATCACTAGTCGGTTGGAGGCCATTTGACTCTTTTTCATCCTCTTTCTCAGGCTGGTTGCGCAGACATTGAACAGATCAAGAAGAGCCCCTGGGTGCGCCACGGGAAAGGGACGAAAGGGCCTAGTAGTGTCCTTGCTCCTAGTAGCGATGCCAGGAGCCCCTAGTAGCGTCCTTGCTCCTAGTGTGAAACAGAATAATTCCCCCCAAGAAATAAGGACGTGTATCAAGTGTCGGCCATTGTGTGTTTTTGGGAGTCTATAGTATTGAGGTCTTCGTCAGACTCCAGTCTCGAAGAGGGAAGCGAACACACTGACTGTCCTCCAGATGATCCTCCGCATTGTCCTGATTATTTTCCTTTCTAAAGATCTACCCTATCTTTCTGATTCTTCCTTCCCTTCACATTCTTCATGTTCTTTCAGGACCTTTCTCAGATTTTTCACTGTTTCTTTTGTGATTCCTTCAGATTCTGCCAGGCAGTGGACATGCACCGACTCACCTCCAGCAAGACTGGTCTCAGTCTGCCGGCCCAAGCTGTTCACCATGCAAGAGCTCACACAGCCAAGGTAAAGAGATTCAAGCATGTGAATAAGTGGAGAAACATATGACCATTGACAGTGTATATATAATACTAGTATATAAGTATAGCAATCTCAGCTGTTTGCTGTTCAAATTTGGACATGAAAACTCTTAAATGGATGGAAGTAAACTTGAACATGCAACTTGCTTAGCGTCTCGCATGCGCTCAGGTGCTGGACTGGGAGGCGACAGGCACATCATTCGCAGCATTTTCGAGTTGTTGAACTCTCACATGAAGCTTGTTCAGAAACAACATGAAACGAAAAGAAAGCAGCACAGCAAAACCTCAGCCGGATGGCGGCAGGTTCTGCAGTGTGAGCTAATACCTTGAGAGCGAGAGCCAAAGATGCTTGAGGTCGACTTGACTGCCCCATATATAGATCGAGAAAAGCTACGATTCTAGGATCTGAAAAAGAACCTTTGTTACTAGTAGCGATGCCCTTTGTTCCGTTCGTAGCTTCTTGTTAGTAAGGCCAGGAGCCCCTAGTAGCGCCCTTGCTCCTAGTAGCGATGCCCTTTGTTACTAGTAGCGTGGCACCTGTTACTACTAGTAAGGCACTTGTTACTAGCGATGCCAGGAGCCCCTAGTAGCGTCCTTGTAGAGCCTTCAGTCGGCACTCGAACTCGGCCAAAGTGCCGAACTCGCGGTTAGCGCCGATAGCCAGCCACGTGCGCTTCGAGCGATCACAGCGTAGCTGCAACCATTCATTACATTTATTGTTTCTAATAGCGTACTTCTTCTAGTTTCTTACTAGTTTCTTGTTACTACTTGTCACTAGAAGGGATGCACTTGTTACTAGTAGCTTATTGTTTCTCGTTAGTTATATACTAGAAAGCTGTATATTGTTAGCGATGGCCTCCAACCTAGTAGCTTCTTTGTGTTTGTGTTCCGGAACGAAGCATGGGTATCAGACCCAAAGCTCCATTTCGGCTGTTGCGCCACTTGACACGTTGCGCCCTTCTGCAGCCATTTTGGGTACCGACTCCTTCTCGCCTCCCTGAAGCGGGGCAGTCATGCCGGAGGCTGAGGCAGAGGGCGAGGCCATCCAAGTGGAAGAGGACGAGGAGTCCGAACTATGTTCTTTTGATAGAAGAAGGAGAAACAAGAGAGGCGCAAGGACGCTACTAGGGGCTCCTGACATCGCTAGGAGCAAGGAGTCTAGGCGAGTGGAATTGCAGGAGCTGCAGGCGTGGTATGAGGACCCACAAGGCGAAGTGGACGAGAGAGGCCAAGGAGGGCGTTGAGCACCCGGGTCTTGCAAGCTTTTGTTAGCGTTGCCTCCAAGATTTTGTTAGCCTTGTTTCTACTAGCATCTTGTTACTACTAGTAAGGCACTTGTTACTAGTAGCGATGCACTTGTTCCTAGTAGCTTATTGTTCCTGCTAGCTAAAAGCAATGGCCTCCAACCTGAGGAATTATATGGAGGTTGTCGTCCTGTGGTTTGTTCGCGTAAGCAAATTCGCTTGGGGGCGTAGGCTCGCGTAGGCATTGTTGGGGAATGTCTTCGCGTAGGTTCTTTGCGTAGGCACCCCTTTTCATACAGTTTGATTGCTTGAATGTGTTGCGTCTCATGGTTTCGGTGTTTTGCTAGGACAGGGGCTCAGTTCAAATGGACTCTGGCCAGCAAGGAACAAGATCCCGACACTGCACACATGCAAACAAACGATGCAGATAGTGCGTGAAATTGCTGTGGCAAAGCCATTCTTGCCAACAGCGGCGATGGTGGAAATAGGATGAAATACATGCTTTCTCGCGTAGGCCTCGCGTAGGCTTCGCGTACACGCCGCGTAGGCGGACCTCCCGTACCCAACGTCTCCGCACAACTGTCTTTCGGCTGACAAGTCTTGCCTTGCAGCTTGCTGGCA